GCCGTGGCTAGAGATACGGTACCTTATCAGAACTTCCGATTGCTAAAGGTATGGTAAATGATATTACGTCATGATTAGGCAATAGAAATGGCCGACTCGATTTTGGATTTTTTGCAAAGTCGACGTCGAGATCATGGGAAACGTGTGGCGCGAACAGTTACGATCAAATTTATGTCATAATTAATAGGCCCATTTCATGTACTTCGATTGGGGCTTATCACAATGTTTGGGTTAAAAGTCCTTTCTGTTATTCTTGCGTATTTTATGGTCTACTATAAAGAATGGTCTACTTAGGCCTAGGGCATAAGCCGAATACCAGCCAAGGGGGCTGCTATAAGCGTACAGGCTAGGCTTCCGGCCTAGTACTGTAGTGCTACTACTAGGGGCCTAGCCTAAGCCTATAGAATAGTATGGCACTAGTTATTATTGCTGATTGAAATAGCCAACCAAGCAACATGGCGATTGATTATCAGCGAGAGTAAACTTTATATGTAGTAGTATAGTATTATAGGCCTACAGTGCGTATACCACAGGGAATTAGTATGCACGTAGCAGGGGTAGCTAAGGCCTAGGGCCTGGCTTCTACTATTAAAATAGTTTACTCAGTCGCTTGATGTCGCCAAATCTAGCAAAACTGCTATCCTTTTTATTTGCTATAGGGCCTCGGGCTACAGAATGTTAATCACAGCTTGTCAACAACACCCGCGAACGAACGAAGTTTCTTATCTTCGATCATTGCTAAAACCATGGACCTTATTAATAGGTCCATGCTAAAACCATCTAAAACACACAATCACTACTCTAGCAGCAGTGCACTGAATGACGTCACGCATGTATCAGCGTTCTATTGGCTAATCATGACGTAATATCATTTACTGTACCTTTAGCAATCGGAAGTTCCGATACGGTACCGAATCTCTAGCCACGGCGATATATATTCAGAATATATTCTGAATTCATTAATTATTTAGTGTTACCAGTATCAAGTAGAATATCAACAATAACTCTCACTATGTTTAAAACATAACGACTTCTTAGAGAATATTTAGTTTAAACTGCACTTCCTACTTCTCACCAAGAAGGAACAAAAGTGGATCATAATTCATATGGAAGTGTCTACCTAACTATAGGATGTCTCAATTCAACCTGTTGAAGAGAATACATGCTATTTTCACTTGTTACTGATTGAACAAAACTATCAAACAGACTAACCAAAAAGCATAAGAAATACCTCTATGGCACTAAAAATATTCACAACAGAACTATGCACTAATAGTAACAAAAATGGTTGCTTACTTGTAGTAGCTGTGTTCAATGTCTGTCCCATTGCAACTTATAAGACAATAGTCCGTATTCAAACAGAGTGTGGCGAAGTGTCAGCATTCAGTCATACAAGCAGTACTGCAAAGGTCACACAAGGGCATTGACACTTACTTGACACTGCTGATCAGATACCACTCAGTATTATATAGGCCTCCAGAAGAGGAAGTGTTGAACAGACTGAATGATGAACAACATGAAACTGGCCAATCACACTTTCCCTTAGAGGCCGCTAAGGCTGGGAAAGTTTATAAGTTCATACAATTCAATGTTTTAGGGGTAAAATTGAGGTGACGTCCTCATAGATGATACATGATGTTTACATCCACCCCTTTTGTCAAATAGTACAAACTTGACATGCAAAACTGTTTGATATGATATCAGAATTTATTTACTTTTTGAAATCATTATATACTGACCCTTATTTTTGTGTTTACAACATCACATTTTAAAAATCAACACATACAAAACAATTTTTTCCTTCATCATAGATCACATATAACTTTAATCAATAATTCAGAAATTTGAATAATTGCTAGGAATGACCGAACATATAAACACAAAGAATTTAAGATATTTATGATGTTCAGATTAGGTGGGTGGATGATTTTACCTTCAGTGGGTGGAAGCTGTTTACAAAAACAATATATACTGTATGAAGGCTGATTTATTTTATTTTTAAATTCAACAGAAGGAAGGCCTTCATTTTGAATTTAATTATACAAGAAAACCAAAAAATATATAAATTAATAAACTAAATTATTACAATACAAATACATTTGAAATCAAATTCATTGATACAGTGTTGTTTGGAAAATATTCAGGGTTGGGCCCCTGTTACCTACACTGGACAACACCATTGCCTTAGACTGCACCGTTATGAACCAAAAGGAGGAAGGTGACGTCACCCAGCATATTATAAGCAGAGTGCATGGGAATAGGAATGAGTGATGCAATATTAGTGGCTAGAGCCACAAGTTTGTATTTTTTTTTATCATAATTATAAACCTAGCAATGTTATTATTAGTTACCATAATGTGATGATACATATTTACTTGAGTATCATTAATGGTAACAGGCATGTATACCAGGTTCATGGGAAGGGGGATTCCTTATAGTTTACTCAGAAGTGTTTTTTTTTTTTAATAAACAAAGTTATAATTAAACACTACTACATTAGTAAACTGGTCAAAAAGGGGGGAGGTTTCGACTGAACCCCAAACACCTCCCAATGGTTGAGGTCTGGGAAAAATATAGAATGATTTCGGAAGTTAAAATTAAAGTTTAATAAATGTTTTTATTGTATTCAAAGAAATACAACTGGGTCTATTTTATCCATTGTGGATATATTCAAATACAGCGGGAGAATTAACACCAAAATATTTACCAGATAAACAGAACAATCAATCAATATCATGTCCATATGAAGTGGTAAGTAAATTTATGTGTAAAAAACAATACTTACTTTGTTTTGTATACTGTATGTTTTAAATATATTTAGACTTCAAAGAATATTATAATATTTACCCAACAAACATTTTAAAAATGTCAATATTATGTCCATAGCTAGTACTGTAGTTAATTTATGTGTAAACAAATAAAAATTAGTTTTTATCTGTTATGTTTTCTGTTATGAACAACTTAGAAGAATATTTACTTTACATGATTCTTCATCAAAAAATGTCATTAATAAAGATAATGATAGAATAACAATCATTATCAACCTTTTTTTTTTAATTCATGGCATACAATAATTATATTGTAATTGTTTACATTATCATTTTGCTTAAATGTTACACCAGGATGTAGAGAAGCGATATCCAATAATGGCACAGAAATGCCATTTATCCTGTTCATGATGCACTCCCCATGCGACTAGGGAAAGTTCAATGACCAGGAGTTCATTCACCTTCTAATAGTACAGTAGGACAAAATAAAATAACATTCCATTTATAGTGGCAATTTTATTCCCAGGTTGTGAATACCGTACCATACCTTTTATGCAATTAATGCTACATGATTGGCTAGTTTTTAGAACAGAAAATTATTATATAGGCCTACCATACATTATAGCAGATGTTCAAGGTAAAAGAAGTCAGGAATATAATTAGTATTTATCTGGATAATTAAATGAAACTCTTGTGGAAAATTAAGAATTAATTGGAATGAATTTCTACCTCTGTTTCTAATTTTAAAGCTTCTTAGAAAGGTTCCGATTAAAAAATAAAGTGATAAAGTGATTTCATATGTGACACTATCTCTATAAGGCCCATAAAAATAAATCATGGTATTATAAACCTAAACCCTAAAGTTTATTAGTTATTTATACTCGTGCCAAAATATGTAGCGTCTTGGAGACCAATACAGCATATAATTATATAGTGTTTTGGAGAATGAAAATGTTTCTGTGACATCATAATTACAACTGCTGTTGTCATGCTCACCATATACAGTGTGTCAGTGAGAGTACAGTAGGCCTATTAAATCATCCGCTTCCATATTTTGTAAGTAAACATACCTATAAATCATCAGCTTCCATATTTTGTAAGTAAACATACCTATAATAGAACTGATGAAACTTATTTTAATAAAATTACTAAGAGATACATATGTGTTTGTATGATATATGTATCCCTGACTAATTCCAAGATAATATATTTCCAGTTCATAATTGTTTCAGGGAGTTCCTCTTCTTTATACCAACCTGTGCTTTGCAAAAATAACCTATAGTAAAGTAAACTTACTGCAGAAAAAGTGAATGGAATGATTAAACATCATTCTACTCATGAAAGCACAATAGTGGGATTCAGCGATGTTTGTTTACAGCCAGTCCTGTGACCTACAGTGGGTGTACCATGGAAAACATTACAGCGCAATCAGTGTGAAAGGAGTATAGGAAAAGGTAATGTTATGCTTTCAAAAACAACCACCCACTGTTAACATGAAAAATAAATGGCAAGGAAAGGCCATACGATTGTTCAAAATAGTGTTTATTTACTAGCGTTCTTGCATTGTATAATGCTTTGAAATTTATGTGATCTTTCGTATACCTTAGCTAGCCTACAAATCGTAGCGTATTCCACGTGTCGAAGACTCTTATGCATATCTAAACAGGCTATAGATTTGCTAAGGCCTAACATTTGTTGAAAATCTCAAATTCCCTTGAATGACAAGTCACACAAAGTTTGTGTGGTGAATTTCGGGACATCATCAATCGACTTAGAGTAACTAATTATGTTCAAAAGAACAAATACAGCTATTATGATGATCATTACAGCAATAACATTGAACAGTCACCATAGCAATCTCCGCTGTGCCAGTCCATTGATTACATCCAACACCCAAGTTAGGTCACGTGAAGCCATCGCCGAATCCCTATATCATTGTAGGAGTACTGCAGCGAAATGGTAAGAAATTCAAAACCCCTTTACTTTACAAATAGAGTAAGGCTGACTTTTTTAATAAAACATCCCAAACATAGAGGGTTTTTTGCAAAAGTGGGTGTACAATACAAAATGCGGTGTCCTGTTACGTAGCTATTTCAAACAGAATACAGATGGTCCATATTCGACCACTTGTAAAAATTTTAATGGAAACAAACAAGGAAAAATAATTATTATGGCTAAAACTAGAATGTGTTGGTATATTTGAAATGTAAATTTGAAATAGGTTAATTTTGAAATTTTGGCCTCTATGTCACACTTTCTGATGATGACATAATTAATGTCGAAATATTGAATCCCAACACGATGGCGTGTATTTCAATACTTGGAGTATACTTTCTTATGTCACACTTTATTACCTAAAATCATAGAATTACCCATATATAAGCATCAAACAAACCTCTCAAAACAGCAAGCTTGATGAAATGTACCATAGTTCCTCAGACCACCTTAGGATGGTATTAGGCCACTATATGCCCAATTGCTCAGGCAAAAGCCCATGGAATGATATTACCATTTTATTTACATGCATGATATTACTAATAATTCTTAGAAAAAATATCGCCTTTGAATTAGACATACAATGCTGAACAATTACCATTTGAAAAAAAAACACTTACACACTTACCTATGAATTATATATATAGTTAATTTCATATTTGTATTCTAAAACTTATAATGTTTACATAAAATAAAATTACACACCACCCATTCAAAAGTGGTATAGTCAAACCTTGTCTTTTGCAGGTCAGATACTTGACTGAAAGTACTTTTGTATAATAGGCAGAATAAACAGCACAATAATAAGGATTATTTATGCATTAGCATAATAATATTGAGGAATATAGTAGTCAGACATTAGCATTTGGAGTCGAAATTATAATTCAAGACAATTGCATTAAGTAACATAAGATTGTGTTACAAACCGATGCCAATCCACTGAAAACCATATTTCGAAACTACAGAATCATATTAAATCTTATAACAACAGATTTCCAAAAGGGTACATATAATAATCTTTCTTTCTATATCAGCAAATGTTTATGAAATTTTAACTCTACACAAGGTAATCACTATCATCTGAATGTTTCATACAGAGTCAAGTAAAAAACTACTGAAAAAACTTGATTAAAACAGAATCTATTCATTCAACTATTGAAAACCACTTCCGATATACTTAGGAAGTAATTATTCATGTAGTTGTATAACAATGGACAATAAACCTTCACTAGTCAATTGCAGAATGAAAATAGAAAGGAAGAAATACAAAAAACACCAAGGTGAAAGTAAACGATGCATGAAAAAAATGAAAACCAAAATACTATTGGGTACTATTAGATTTCAAGTGTACTAGTACACCAAAAAAAAAACCAAAAAATGTTTTAATTGTTCAATTTAAAAAATTGTTTAAACTAAACAGCAAATTCCTTTTAATTTGTTTTAATATTATCATCTGTTTATTATGTAATACGAATGTATACTGCAAACAAAAAGCACAAGCAATTTTAAAGAAAAAAATAATGAATTTAGCATTATATTTTAGGTAACATAACATTAGATATTATGAATAATATATAACTACATAGAATACTATACAGACAAATACTATAACATTTCAATCTTGTAAATTTTCAGTTAGGCCTATTTCATGTTTCAGTACCACAAATAATGTAAATA